AGATCTTCTGATGTTTGGTGTCATCTTCCTGTGATCTCCTGTGAACAGGTGGATTAATTCACTTAAAGTTTATGTATGTAGCACCAAATCGCAGCAGTTGCTGAACACTTTAAGGTAAACACTCTAGAATAATTATGGAGGCACAACATTTGAAGCTCCTATCCTTTTATCCCACATACCCAAAAGTTAGTTATATGATAAATAGCCCTGTGTTTGTTTACTTGATTTGTATAATGCAAAGTGGTGATAATGCCCAGGAAGTTGTTACTTCATTATGTCATTTTTTTTTTCTTTTAAAGTACGTCCTCATATGGCGATTATTTTTTTTTATTTATTTATTTTTTGTAATGCCATAAAACAAGTCATTGTTTACAAAAAAAATGTACATTTTATTGGGCAGAATGAGGTAAACAGTGAAGAAAAGTATGAGATACAGAGCATAGGATCTCCCGAGACTATGGCAACTAGAAATATTGTATACATGTGTGTGTATTAAGGACTGACACAGACAAAGAATTAATCATACAATGAAGCAATGTCATTTTTGTTTATTTATAAACAGGATAAAACCATTCAAGTATTGAGTCATGAATAAAACAGCAACCTCTGGTCTGCTAATTGGGAAACAGAGGATGTCGGTGTATTTTTCAGTGCTAGTTGTCCAAATTGAGTGAGATGACTTTACATTTGAATAGATTTGATTACAAGTTATATTTAGTTTTAATTGAATGCAGTTCAATTTGATTTACATTAAGCCAATTCACAACATATAAACTTGCAATATATGGTAAGATAAAGGTTGTGCAATAATACAGAGAAAGCCCCGACAATCAAATGATCCCCTATGGCGAAGCACTTGGCAACAGTGGGAAGGAAGAACTCCATTTTCGGCAGAACCAGGCTCAGGGAGGGGCACAGTCTGCCTCGACTGGTTGGGGGTGGGGTAAGAAAATGAAACGAAACTCACGTCATCGCCCTGTAAGTAAAAACAAATAGGAGCCAGAACCATCATCCCAGAAGCTGCCCTGGCTTACAGCCATGGAGACCCTCTCCCAACACGGCTGCACCCAGTGAACAACAGTGAGACACTACTGACAAATGCAGGCAGTGGTATACATCTACCCTGCTGTCAATCACACACATTGTCTCCTACTGTCGCCATTCCTGCTGTCGGGACTGGGTCGCCACATCACGCTGACTGGTCAGTCTCCGCGGCATGATCGTGGGGGTGCGACCCTTCTTTTTGGCTTGGCCTTCCTGCCTTCCTCTTCCCATCTGGGGCCTCTCTGCTTCCACTGCTCAGCTTGCTTCCTTTTCATAAGTCCTATAAACAGCTGAAAGGACACCTCTGGACACACCCATCCCTCAGCAAGTGATCACAATCAGCTAATTTCTCCCATGCCCAGCAAATCCACAGTGGATTAAAACAATGTAAAATAACACACTAAAAACATGTGACACAAACAGCATAAAATCATGCAAATAAAAACTACACTTACAAATAAACACTAAAATCAGAATAAAACCAATATAAGAAATAAATACACATTTCTACTGTGTGAAACTTACATGCATCACCAACTGAACCTTTATGTTAACGTTTAAAGCTCCAACTGAACCTCATTTAATTTTGCAGTAATTTTCAAACAAAGACAGCCAAGAACATCTTTCCTGTGCCAGAATGTGTGAAATATAACTTAACATGAAAAGAATCAATGTCTACTCCATCCATATCCTCTGTCTGTAATGCATTGAGCTAGTTAGCAACAGGAAAATTGACTAAAATTATTAGATTGTGCTGTTGCATAATCTACTAAAAATATATAGGCAATTCTTCTTCTAGAAAACTTGCTGGGCGTGTAATCATTTCAGTATATATACTGAAATCATAAAATTTAGATGTTGTGATAAGAAGGACATTTGCTAATGATTCTTTTAAAAAACAGCTGAAGACATTTTTATTTAGAAAAGCATTTACTTAATTTGTTTACTTATGTTGTTTTTATTGTTTTACATTACTGTTACATTGTTTTATATTTCCATTAAGCACTTTGCGATTTTTATCTGTGAAAAGCGCTATATAAATAAATTTTACTTACTTACTTACTAAACAGCTAAAAAAAATGGGCTTATCTTCTGCATTTGTGATTAAAAGATGAAATACACAATGTACTTGTTCAGATTTTCACCAGAGAAAAAGAAAACGGAATTCATTGACTTATAGATATATAGACACATAGTCTATTGTGGCGCAAGCGCAGCTCTCGGGTCTGACGCATTTGACCGCTGCCAATAGAAACGAGGTGTCCAACTGGGAGACTGACAAGGCAAAATCATCAAGTTAAAATGTTGTTCTTAAACTTACTAGTCAAGACAAGTTTGACTGTCTGGATACTTAAAGAGGAAAATCCATTTCTGAAACAGGTCCCTCATCAAGCAGACGTATGGCGTGCACTGAAGCTTCGTGAGTGACTTCCGGGGAAGCCAACAGGAAAAGCGATAGCTCTGCTCAGAATTCTAGACCAATCAAATTTAGCCTCGGACGTGGCTTGTTTGCAGAAAGCTCTTCGATTGGTTCTTGCTCTACGTGGGCGTACCTAAGAGTCTCAGTCAAGTTTAGATGAGAACGAGGAAGTGGAAAACGAGCAAGGAGGAAATCTGAAGGAAAGGACTGGTGTGCGAGCTCGACTGTCATTTTAATACAGTTACCTTACAGTTACTTTGCCCACAGAACACAATGGCTGAGTAAGTCCTCCACTTGTTTCTTTGTTTCTTCTTCTGTTGTGTCTTTTTTGTACAAAGTCGGGGCAATAGAAAGGTTATACCTACTAGTTGAGGTTCTTTTGTTTTTCTCCTTTGCTGAGAGTAATCTTCTTTAGTAGTTAATGCTAACGGTGCTGTTATCTGACCGGGGTCAGCTTTAGAGTTTGGTAGAAATATGTGTGGTCTGTGCAGCACTGAATGGGGTGATGGTCGCTATGGACTCTGGGAAATTAAAGGGATCTTCGGAGTGAGGACTCTGAAGCCCATGTTTTAATTTACTTGAAATAAAAATACACTGGATGACTTGAGGGATAGTAGACAGAAGGCTGTTTTGATAATTACCCTGAAGCCAGACTATCCGATCTTCTCACCTGTGATGTGATTCTTGTTTCCTCAGAGCAGACATTGCACTAATTGGTTTGGCCGTCATGGGCCAGAACCTCATCATGAACATGAATGACCACGGCTTTGTGGTAAGTTGATGCCTCCTGTGTGTGTTGCTGCTACTCCCTGCATAACCTGTTCCACTTTTCTTTCACTCATTCAATATCTTTCCAACAGGTCTGCGCTTACAACCGTACTGTGTCCAAGGTGCATGACTTCCTGCAGAACGAGGCTAAAGGCTCCAAGGTGATTGGAGCAGAATCTCTGGAAGACATGGTGACCAAGCTCAAGAAGCCCAGGAGGATCATCCTGCTGGTCAAGGCTGGACAGGCTGTGGATGACTTCATTGACAAGCTGGTGAGCAGTCAGTCCTGAACTAGGCTAAAGTTTAGAAACTGCATCCGACCTGCATATATTTATTGGGTTTGTACTACATCTGTTAATTCTCAGGTTCCTCTTCTTGAGGCTGGGGACATCATCATTGATGGTGGCAACTCTGAATACAGAGACACGACAGTAAGTCATAAACATTCACTGTGGAGCAAAACCTCTTTATTTCAGAGTATATCACCATAGCTCATGCACTTCTATCCTATAGCGGCGGTGCAAGAGTCTGAAAGAGAAGGGCCTGCTGTTTGTTGGCAGTGGAGTGAGTGGTGGAGAGGAGGGTGCACGCTATGGACCCTCACTCATGCCTGGTGGGCATAAAGAGGCCTGGTAAGTCGTCAGCTTCATTTCATGTGTGTTAAAAATCAGTGAACATTTATCAATTGCAGAGTGTAACTTAATGTTTATTTTATAGGCCATACATAAAGGACATCTTCCAGAGCATCGCTGCCAAAGTTGGAACAGGAGAGCCTTGTTGTGACTGGGTGAGTGATGTATATTTAATGTTTATTAAATATATATTTGTTGTTATTATTATGCCAAATCATCTAACAAATATTGTGTGGCTTGAGCAGGTTGGCGATGAGGGTGCGGGTCATTTTGTGAAAATGGTCCATAACGGCATTGAGTATGGAGATATGCAGCTGATCTGTGAGGCCTATCACCTGATGAAGGATGTCTTGGGTATGGACCATGATGAGATGGCAAAGGTGCGCTTGTTGTACTTCTATGACACCGCTTTCACATTTGTCTGGCAGTATTAATTATGTAAAATATAAAGACAATATGTGTTTTTTGATTTTTTGTTTTGTTTTTTAAGGCTTTTGACAGCTGGAACAAGACTGAGCTGGACTCCTTCCTGATTGAGATCACAGCTAACATCCTTAAATACAAAGACTCTGACGGTAAACATCTGCTACCCAAAATCCGCGACAGTGCTGGACAGAAAGGCACAGGGAAGTGGACGGCCATTTCAGCCCTCGAGTACGGGACACCTGTCACACTGATCGGTAAGAGGAAGAAAGGAGGCTTAAAGCAATGAACTACTCATAAAGGCTAGTGTCATGTACCAATACTGCAAAAGCCACTTATCAAATTACCCTTTAATGATCAGATTTCTTGGGCTTATACTTTGGATCTGTCAGCTGGCAAACACAGCATTGGCTGTGAGCCTCTTTTAGAGAATGTGATCAATATGTTGTTGCCTGTAAGAAGCTTGAAGGCTATTCTGATGGCATGTCAGGTGACATAAAGGGGATTTGGCTTTGGTCTTTGCTGTGACTGTATCATAGTCTGTTTCATAAACAGACCTAAACAAGAAGCAAGCTTTATATGATTAACTTTAAAAGCATGCAGGGTAAACTATATGGAAAATGTATCCAATGTACCCACAAGTGAGATTTTTTTTTTAAATTGCTGTGTTTGCATGTTCCCTGTCTGTGTTGGATACCCTGCTGTGATAGAGAGGGATGGGTGCAGAATAAAAGGCTTCATTGTGTG